GCACCATGGTTGCTAAGCGACCAAGCGTTAGTCCTTCCTCCTCATTGACTGCTGCTGTCGTCCTTATGTTTTTTTCCTCCTTCTTTATGTAACGAACGGAAGATTCATTGATTCCGTAATGGCGAGCAACGGCTGCATAGCTTTTACCTTCCCTTAGCATGTCCAGAAGTTTAACTTTATCTGAGATAGGTAGCATCTTCCGCCGTTTGGGCCCATCCGCAGGTGCTTTTGTCGGTCCAGGCCGTTTCGTCGACATTATGGGTTAGGAGATGTTCGAAATTACAAGATAATTTGGCCAACTTAATGTAAATTTGCCAAGCTGTTTTATGTACGTACACATAACTGCACGAGACGACAAAATGATAGCACAATTCGTAGCATGTGTTGATACAAGAAGCGGGAGTGAGTTTTTAGCGAATCAGAATGCAGAGCACAATGCACCAAAAAAAAAAAATGCATTATGAAAATCCGCGAAATAGCGAATCCGCGATAAGTGAACCGCGAAGTGGCGAGGGATCACTGTACACCTATTCTGAGTGTGCAACACCACTAAGCAAGGGGCACCACCAAGCAAGTGGCACCATGAAGACCAAGGAGCTCTCCAAACAGGTCAGGGATAAAGTTGTGGAGAAGTACAGATCATGGTTGGGTTATAAAAAAATATCAGAAACTTTGAACATCCCACGGAGCACCATTAAATTCATTATTCAAAAATGGAAAGAATATGGCACCACAACAAACCTGCCAAGAGAGGGCCGCCCACCAAAATACACGGACCAGGCAAGGAGGGCATTAATCAGAGAGGCAACAAAGAGACCAAAGATAACCCTGAAGGAGCTGCAAAGCTCCACAGCGGAGATTGGAGTATCTGTCCATAGGACCACTTTAAGCCGTACACTCCACAGAGCTGGGCTTTACGGAAGAGTGGCCAGAAAAAAGCCATTGCTTGAAGAAAAAAATAAGCAAACACGTTTGGTGTTCGCCAAAAGGCATGTGGGAGACTCCCCAAACATATGGAAGAAGGTACTCTGGTCAGATGAGACTAAAATTGAGCTTTTTGGCCATCAAGGAAAACGCTATGTCTGGCACAAACCGAACACCTCTCATCACCCCGAGAACACCATAGTGGTGGCAGCATCATGCTGTGGGGATGTTTTTCATCGGCAGGGACTGGGAAACTGGTCAGAATTGAAGGAATTATGGATGGCGCTAAATACAGCGCAATTCTTGAGGGAAACCTGTTTCAGTCTTCCAGAGATTTGAGACTGGGATGGAGGTTCAGCATACTGCTAAAGAAACTCGAGTGGTTTAAGGGGAAACATTGCCCAGACCTCAATCCAATTGAGAATCTGTGGTATGACTTAAAGATTGCTGTACACCAGAGGAACCCATCCAACTTGAAGTAGCTGGAGCAGTTTTGCCTTGACGAATGGGCAAAAATCCCAGTGGCTAGATGTGCCAAGCTTATAGAGACATACCCCAAGAGACTTGCAGCTGTAATTGCTGCAATAGGTGGCTCTACAAATATTTACTTTGGGGGGGGTAAATATTTATGCACGTTCAAGTTTTCAGTTTTTTTGTCTTATTTATTGTTTGTTACACAATTTTTTTTATTTTGCATCTTCAAAGTGGTAGGCATGTTGTGTAAATCAAATGATACAAACCCCCTCAAAATCCATTTTAATTCCAGTTTGTAAGGCAACAAAATAGGAAAAATGCCAAGGGGGGTGAATACTTTCGCAAGTCAATGTATCACTCTGCAATACTGCATTGTGTTTGCACTATGCAGGTCGTTCTGTCCTGAACCAAGGGCAACAATTTTGCATTAGTGCATTGAAATATGAAATGGGGGGGGAGGAATGCAAGCATCAATATTTGGTCATCTGTTGTGAGATGAAACCCCTGTATGATGTTTCACTGATGAAGCAGTGGAAAGGCTGATGGTGACTTGGCTCTCTTTCTCTGGTGCTAGCTGTTTAACAATGCATGAACACTGGGAGATCGTCAAATCCCCATTGTGTAAATGTGGTTTTAGTATCCAAGCCCCAAGTTGTATTAATACATCTATGCTGTCTCCAACTATTAAGGTTCTGTAGGGTTCGTCTCTGTATCTTTTATCGTCATTCTAATAAAAGTAAATGTGTTTCTATTATAGACATAATGTCATACAACACCATGCAAAAAACGAACGACACGCTTGAGAAAAGAAAAGTCCAATAAAGCTTTTAATGTGTGGCTAGGATGTTATTGCCACTAGCCAAGTATAATCAAGCATTGTTTATTTTTTCCCACTCCTGTCGTTCTCTGGGTACTTAATGATGCATGGTTGAGGTTTTAGACAGAACAATGCATGAAAAGACTGACTTAAACTATGTGGTCTAACAACAATATAGTATGTATGTTTACTATTTAAACTAAAGCCTTGGGTTTTTCCCCACTTTGTCATTCTCCTGGTACTTGAAACTAATGATGCATGGTTGAGGGTTTTTAAAGGCTGACTAAACTGTGCGGTCGGTATCAATAATAATAGTATGTTTGCTACTTAAATTACTCACTAGTGCAGGGCTCTCCAACCCAGTTCCTGGAGAGCTACCATCCTGTAGGTTTTCGCTCCAACCCTAATCTAGCACACCTGATTATAATTAGCTGGTTGATAAGCTGAATCAGGTTAGTTACAACAGGGTTGGAGTTAAAACCTAAAGGAGGGTATCTCTCCAGGAACAGGGTTGGAGTTAAAACCTACAAGGAGGGTAGCTGTCCAGGAACAGGGTTGGAGTTAAAATCTACAAGGAGGGTAGCTGTCCAGGAACAGGGTTGGAGATAAAACCTACAAGGAGGGTAGCTGTCCAGGAACAGGGTTGGAGAGCCCTGCACTAGAGCATTCACTGTGTGGACCCAGTGGTGCCTGCATTGTGTTTAGCCACCTGTGACAGGCATGGAATTCTCTTATCCTGTTCTTTGTGACAGGCCAGGCACTTGGCAGCCCTGTAGCCATCTGTAGCCATGAAATGCTTTGAAGGGCTGGTCATGGCTCACATCAACGCCATCATCCCAGACACCCTGGACCCACTCCAATTTGCATACTGCCCCAACAGATCTACAGATGATGCAATCTCTATTGCACTCTACACTGCCCTCTCCCGCCTGGATAAGAGGAACACCTATGTGAGAATGTTGTTCATTGACTACAGCTCAGCGTTCAACACCATAGTGCCCTCCAAGCACATCACTAAGCTCAGGACATTAGGACTGAACACCTCCCTCTGCAACTGGATCCTGAACTTCCTGATGGGCCGCCCCCAGGTGGTGAAGGTAGGCAACAACACATCCGCCACGCTGACCCTCAACACGGGGTGCGTGCTTAGTCCCCTCCTGTACTCCCTGTTCACCCACGACTGTGGCGCGCACTACCATCATTACGTTTGACGACGACACGACGGTGGTAGGCCTGATCACCAACGATGATGAAACAGCCTATAGGGAGGAGGTCAGTGACCTGGCATTGTGGTGCCAGGACAACAACCTTTTTCCCTCAACGTCAGCAAGACAAAGGAGCTGATCATGGACTACAGGAAACGGAGGGCCGAGCATGCCCCGTCCACATTGATGGGGCTGTAGTGGAGCGAGTTGAGAGCTTCAAGTCCCTCTGTGTCCACATCGCTAAGGAATTAACATGGTCCACACGCCAATACAGTTGTGAAGAAGGCACGACAACGCCTCTTCCCCCTCAGAAGGCTGAAAAGATTTGGCACGGGCCCTTAGATCCCCAAAGCTTTACAGATGCACCAAGTCTGGAACCAACAGGACCCTGAACAGCTTCTAAACCCAAGCTATAAGACTGCTAAATAGTTAGTCCAGGTAGCTATTTGGTTGTCTGCATTGACGCCCCTTTGCACTAACTCTTTTGAATCCTCACATACGCTGCAGCTACTGTTTATTATCTATCCTGTTGCCTAGTAACTTTATCCCTACCTATATGTACATATCTACCTCAATTACCTTGTACCCCTGCACATCGACTAGGTACTGGTAGCCCGTGTATATAGCCAAGTTAACGTTACTCATTGTGTATTTATTCCTCGTGTTACTATTTTAATATAATTTGTCTATTTTTCTCTCTGCATTGTTGGGAAGAGCCCGTTAGCAACCATTTCACTGTTGGTCTACACCTGTTGTTTACGATAACATAATGATTTGATTTGATTAGGCTTGTTGATGCGTAGTCAGCCCACGTTACATTTACAGAGAGGCCTGATGATCCATCCCTGTACTGGTGGTGTAAACACTGCATTCAGAGAGAGAGAGAGATCATTTGTTTGTCCTTGGCTCTCCTGCTTGGCTGCTTCTCCTCCCTAGTTTCTGATGTAGTTGTTTACCATGTTAGCTGTAGCTGGCTCACTCTGTGCTGCACATGTATTCTACTCAGTCATGCATTAAACATCAATATAATAATGCACATTCATCCGAAGACACTTACACACACTTACCAGCTGAGCAACACATGATCACTTGATGATAAGAAGATGTCCCTAGAGGTAACATTGTGCCTTCAATAATGCCCATTGTCTGATTCATGGATAGTAAATATACATAGACTTATTATGGGATGTCATTTATGGATTGTAAATATACATAGTTATTATCAGATATAAAGCCATATTACTGTATGTCAGCACAAAGCTCTATGGCTGTCCTTTAGGCCACCGTACACAGAGTAATGTCCTCTTTAAATAGGCTAATAGGTTAATCATGCACCATGCGGAACTTATTGAATGTAATAAAGCCTGTTTTGACCTTGTTTGTTAACGCTAAACTCTATCATCAATCTCCCCCTCTCTCTTCCCTTCTCTCTCTGTTCTCCCCCTCTCTCTTCTCCCCATCTCATCCCTTCTCTCCTCTCTTCCCCCCACCCCTCTCCCGCTCTTCCCTTTTCTTCTTCCCCTTTCTCCCCATCTCTCCTCCCCCCCTTCCCTTCCTCCATCCCTCCTCCTCTTCCACAGATATGTCATTAAGATCCTGCTGAGCCATGCGTTCTTCCAGGAAGAGACTGGTGTGCGTGTGGAGCTGGCCGAGGAGGACGATGGGGAGATGATCGCTATCAAACTGTGGCTGAGGATAGAAGACGTCAAGAAGCTGAAGGGAAAGTACAAGGACAACGAAGCCATCGAGTTCTCCTTCGACCTCAACAAGGACTTCCCCGAAGATGTGGCACAGGAAATGGTACGGTTGGTTGGTTGGTTGGTTAATTGATACATGTATTTTTTGCTAAGTAATTGATCATGTGATTAAAAACAAAACCACAACATCACTGAAAAAGGTGGCTTGATAGAGGATTGACTAGTCATGGTGGTTCCTTCTCCTGTCCCAACAGGTTGAGTCTGGCTATGTGTGCGAGGGAGACCACAAGACGATGGCCAAGGCCATCAAAGACCGAGTGTCTCTGATCCAAACGAAGAGAGAACAGAGGCAGCTGGTCCGAGAGGAGTTGGAGAAGAGGAATCTAAAGCAGCAGGCCCTACAGGCAGCAGAGGCCCTCAGATCCCCCCAGCAGAGTCAGTTACCCCCCCAGCCCCAGCCCGTTGCCCCAGCCCAGCCCCCCATAGCCCAGACTGAGAAGGAGGACCCAGAGATGGACCAGCACCAACAACAGCAGCAGTACCAACAGGCCAACATCTCCATGACATGTAGGTGGACTAGGCACAGTGTCTCGCTCAGAGATGTGCATTCGGAAAGTGTTCAGACCCCTTCACTTGTTTCACATTTTGTTACGTTACAGAATAAATAAAAAAATTCATCAATCTACACATAATGACAAAGTGAAAACAGGTTTTTATAAATGTTTGTTAATTTATTAAAAATAAAAAACATAAATACCTTATTTACATAAGTATTCAGACCCTTTGCTATGAGACTCAAAATTGAGCTACGGAATTGTCCGTAGAGCTCCGAGACAGGATTGTGTTGAGGCACATATCTGAGGAAGGTTACCAAAAAATGTCTGCAGCATTGAAAGCCCCCAAGAACACAGTGGGCTCCATCATTCTTAAATGGAAGAAGTTTGGAACCACCAAGACTCTTCCTAGAGCTGGCCGCCCGGCCAAACTGAGCAATCGAGGGAGAAGGGCCTTGGTCAGGGAGGTGACCAAGAATCCGATGTTCACTCTGACAGAGCTCCAGAGTTCCTCTGTGGAGATGGGAGAACCTTCCACAAGAACAACCATCTCTGCAGCGCTCCACCAATTAGGCCTTTATGGTAGTGGCCAGACGGAAGCCACTTCTCAGTAAAAGGCACATGACAGCCCGGCTTGGAGTTTGCCAAAAGGCACCTAAAGGACTCTGACCATGAGAAACAAGATTCTCTGGTCTGATGAAACCAAGATTGAACTCTTTGACCTGAATGCCAAGGGTCACGTCTGGAGGAAACCTGGCACCATCCCTACGGTGAACATGGTGGTGGCAGCATCATGCTGTGGGGAGTTTTTTCAGCGGCAGGGACTGGGAGACTAGTCAGGATCGAGGGAAAGATGAACGGAGCAAAGTACAGAGAGATCCTTGATGAAAACCTGCTCCAGAGCGCTCAGGACCTCAGACTGGGGCGAAGGTTCACCTTACAACAGGACAACGACCCTAAGCACACAGCCAAGACAACGCAGGAGTGGCTTCGGGACAAGTCTCTGAATGTCCTTGAGTGGCCCAGCCAGAGCCCGGACTGGAACCCGATCAAACATCTCTGGAGAGACCTGAAAATAGCTGTGCAGCGACGCTCCCCATCCAACCTGACAGAGCTTGAGAGGATCTGCAGAGAAGAATGGGAGAAACTCCCCAAATACGGATGTGCCAAGCTTGTAGCGTCATACCCAAGAAGACTTGAGGCTGTTATCGCTGCCAAAGGTGCTTCAACAAAGTACTGAGTTAAGGGTCTGAATACTTATGTAAATGATATATATTTTTAAAAATTGCAAACCTTTCTAAAAACCTGTTTTTGCTTGGTCATTATGGGGTATTGTGTGTAGATTGATGAGGGGAGAAAAAACCCAATTTAATCAATTTTAGAATAAGGCTGTAACGTAACAAAATGTGGATAAAGTCAGAGTCTGAATACTTTCCAAATGCACTCTATGTTCTGTGATTATCGAGAATGCGCCAGGAAATCAGGAATGCAATGTAGTTGATATTGTATATCTCTCAATGGCTCTCTTGATCTCAATCTGGATTTCTCTCTCTCTGGATTTGTCTCGGTCGCTCTCTCTCTTCTCTCTCTCTCTCTTGATCTTTTTCACTCTCTCGATCTTTTTCACTCTCTCTCTCTTTTTTTTTTCTCTATCTTTTTCTCTCCATCTCTCTCTCCCTCCCTCTCCCCTCCTTTCTCATCTGGTCACCGTGTGTGTTCTCGTCCCCTCCACCTACAGCTGACGGAGCGGTGGACAACGGCCAGGCTTCGTCCCTGTTCTCAGAGTCCCATCTGGGCCAGCTGACCATGTCCTACAGCAACATCCCTGCTACCCAGCAGCAGCAGGGCCAAGCCCAGGCCCAGGCCCCCTACCCCTCCCCTTCTCCCCAGCAGCAGCTCAATGCCTACCAACAGCAGAACATGGTAAGTGATGTCATCAAAACGAGACGGAGGGATTTGTCGTTTTTTTTCTTCTAGTTCTTAGGAAGATTGAAGTGAATTGCAGTGGAGTTTGCAGTTGTAATATGCATGAGAGTGATGTCTGAAGAGTGGATTTGGAGCCAGTTCCCTTTTGAGATGAAGAGGTTCTCAGTCTTTGAAATGGAGCAACCTTTTTCCTTCCCGGCTGCCCTCTCTCTCAGGTTTGTCCTGTAGTCCTTTATAGTCCCAGAACTGTTTGTGCCGTCTTGCCAACTCCTATGGTCATTGTTACACTAATCATGACAATTATAATAGGAGTTGCCAATACAGCGGAGACATGTCTGACATCAGGCTACTATAGTCCCACGAGTTCGTCAATTTCACATTTCGGTCTTCTTGGCACCGCATTGGTGGACAAGCAGCTGCGTTCTAACCAACTTATTCAGTAATGAATAAATTACAAGCTCAAAGTGGCAATATCCAGAGAAACCCAGCGATCAGGTTTTACAGTTCCTCTTTGAACAGTAACACACGCTGATGGTCTTGCTGTTTGCCAAGAGACCACAAACCCAATGTCTGGAACAGTATTCTTCAGTGTATTGGGAGGAATAGTGAAAAATATTTGAAAATATGGCCTTATAGAATATCAAAGTATTAAACTGGCTGTTAATTCAGTGTTTTAATTGCTCTCATGTTTCCACTCTAACTAATACAAGGGACAGGAACAGGAACAGCTTTCGGTCATACAACAAACAGTCGCACAAGACGATTGATCTACGCCCAAAACACACAAATGAAGGAATCCAAAACAAATATAGTCACACAAGACACAACGATTGGCCTACGCCTCAAAACACACAAATGTAGGAAGCACAAACCAATACGTTAATCTACACCCAAAATATATAGCCTAGCTACGAAAGAGCTGCCCTTCTGCTCCATAGGTACCCGTCTGTCTCCGCTAACAGGGCGTGACCCCACGGTCACCCCTAAAGGTCAAAAGTTCAAAACCAATGTTCTAGAACCCATCCCAAAGGGTTTAGACAGATGTATAATTAACACCATCCGAAAGGGTTTAGACAGATGTATAATTAACACCATCCTAAAGGGTTTAGACAGATGTATAATTAACACCATCCTAAAGGGTTTAGACAGATGTATAATTAACACCATCCTAAAGGGTTTAGACAGATGTATAATTAACACCATCTTAAAGGGTTTAGATGGATGTATACAGTATTAACACCATCCTAAAGGGTTTAGACAGATGTATACGGTATTAACACCATCCTAAAGGGTTTAGACAGATGTATAATTAACACCATCTTAAAGGGTTTAGACAGATGTATAATTAACACCATCCTAAAGGGTTTAGACAGATGTATAATTAACACCATCTTAAAGGGTTTAGATGGATGTATACAGTATTAACACCATCCTAAAGGGTTTAGACAGATGTATACGGTATTAACACCATCCTAAAGGGTTTAGACAGATGTATAATTAACACCATCTTAAAGGGTTTAGACAGATGTATAATTAACACCATCCTAAAGGGTTTAGACAGATGTATAATTAACACCATCTTAAAGGGTTTAGACAGATGTATAATTAACACCATCCTAAAGGGTTTAGACAGATGTATAATTAACACCATCCTAAAGGGTTTAGACAGATGTATAATTAACACCATGCCAAAGGTTAGAAGCCCCAGTCATGCTCTTGAGTCATGGGTCTTTAGGTCTTCAGTTACTTACAGGTAAGTGCCGGAATTAACTAGCCTTTGATTCGCCAAAAGTGAGAACAGCTGCAAGTTTCAGAAATCAGTTACTCTGTGTGTTTTAGTTTGTGGATTACAGTTTGGTCAGTATTGTCTTCTATCTCCTGTTTTGTTTTAATGTATTGAACTGTTAGTTGTTTTGCCCAATGTCAGTTGGTTTGATTTGAATTTCTGAACAGAATGATGCATGTTGGAGAAACCAAAGCCACTCCGAAGTAAAGAAACTCCACTTTGAGTTTGATTCCTTTTTTCCCCTCATACCTTCCACATTGCTGCATCCTCAGCTATGCCATGCATCTTGTTCTAGTACAGTACCCTGTTCCCCCCCCCCCCCCTCCCCCAACCCATCCCCCCAATCCCAACCAATCACTTATGGTACATATTATTAATAGTACTTATGTTGGTATTTCTCATTATTTGTGTTTTGTTTTGTTTTTATACATATTAGGCAGTTAGCTGTGCAAACTGTCAGGGCCTCCATCAATCCCATACTGTTTATTTTAGAGGTGCCATGATGCTGTCCGTTTTTACGGTCTCTGTTTGGCACGCTGGGCAGTCACCTCAGCCCGCCGTCACTCATCAGTGTCAGACACACTGAATCACAAGCCTTGTTACTGGACCTGACTCAGTCATCTCCATAATGTCAGTGAATTATAGCTCACTAGACCTTCCTAAAGCTGTGGAACTGTCACCACAAACCATACACCTGATGGCGTATGTCAGATCGAGATTTCCAAGCTGTTCAAGCTTATCAAGTATTGTTTGCATTCAACATTGATTACACATTAATTCCACCGTGTGTGTGTGTGTAGTCTTTGGTAAGCTTGCACAAATATTTATTGGGCATGACAACCAGTCATTTTAAATTCTGTAATCATTTTACCATTGTTTGGTTTTATTTGACCATCAAGTGCTATTACTTTACAGTGAATCGATCTGCTCAATGATAGTAGTAGAAGTGTTAAAATGATATTGCCGTTAGTCCTAAATGGCATATTTTACATTGAAACAATGCCTAGCTCCTGCTATTTCTATATGTGAATAAGCAAAAACACAGTTATATATCAATAAAATCAAACCTGAAAAAGGCTTGTGGACATCATATTTTGCACTACATTATTGCGTGTTGTGTTTTTTATACTGAGAGATGGGATTGATTGGTGTGTCTATGCAGTCTGCGCCACTACTGCTTGGGTTTTAGTTTTGTCATTTGAGATAATTTTATGTCTTCCTCTTTGTCTGTTTATTTATTGTGTGTTTATCATCAAATGTTTTGGTTCCCTGTGTGATATAAATCACATCACTTCTTTTTAGTAAAGCCTTTTTAACCGCTGTACTGTGTTGTCCTGTAAAACATCTCATTAGATGTAAACAATGTTTTCACAAGGGCTACTAACTATTCCTGGGCTGCAACTGAATTCAGTTCTGAAAGGTTCCATTAACAAAGCTGCCTTTACTTTGAGAATGAGTTCATAGCCCTTCATCTCTTGAAAGCCCACACTTTGCTGGGCCTTGCCTTTTTAGTAGTATCCTCTGCTGTCTTATAACCAGTAGCACAGTAACCAGTAGGCTTCACTAGACTATAACCAGTAGCACAGTAACCAGTAGGCTTCACTAGACTATAACCAGTAGCACAGTAACCAGTAGGCTTCACTAGACTATAACCAGTAGCACAGTAACCAGTAGGCTTCACTAGACTATAACCAGTAGCACAGTAACCAGTAGGCTTCACTAGACTATAACCAGTAGCACAGTAACCAGTAGGCTTCACTAGACTATAACCAGTAGCACAGTAACCAGTAGGCTTCACTAGACTATATAAACAGAAGAATTGACTAGGCACAGATCAAATATAAATGCAACATTGTAGAGCTACTGTGGATGAATAAGGAATAGCTTCATCAACCCCCGAATCAACTGTTCCCTGACCACTCTTAGCAGAACATTTGATTTATTTTTAGCCCATTGTGTAGAATCAGCAAGGTGAACGTGTCTGTGAATCATTGTACAGACACAGCAGACTGTGCCTCTGGTACACTGGAATTGCCAAGTCCCCTGCCAGCAGCTGGCTACCTAGCTATATTTAGTTTACTGCAGCAGAGCAGTACACCGTCTCTGGCAGTGATTTTCCTTTCAGCCACACTATGATTTAGAACACTGGCTGCGTCTGAAATGGCACCCTATTCCCTATGTAGTGCACTACTTTTGACCAGGCACATAGATCTATATAGGGAATAGGGTGCCATTTCAGACGCGGCCACTGGGATTAGTCTGAGGGTAGAATATCTTCTTTAGATAGTTATGCAATACCAATACATTGAGTGGTTCTTATTCAGGTAGTGTTTCATTTCAACAAAGCCTGAATAAGTAGATTAGAGCTGTTTTTAGTGTTGCAATGTTTTATTTTAGTCATCCTAGCTTCCCAAATCTGCATGCGTGTTAATAAACTCACTTTAAATGACCTAGAAATGGCTCTAGCACTCACTTAAATCTCTAACTTGAAATTGTAGATTACTTTTCCTTTTAATCAGTATTGGCATATCACCATCACTGTTACTTACCTCTTATCTAACCTCTTTCTGTTCCCAATATGCTCTTGCAGTTCTTCTGAGCGCAGAGATGTTTTGACACCTCTTTCTAGCCTTAATACTTAGCTCTCTTCTTCTAATGCCATGTGTCTTGTCTTTATTCCATAGTGTTCATTGTGTCCCATGTTATCAGATCTTTAGATCTTTCAGCTCTTTGTCACCTCTGTTGACCTGTGTTTAGTTAACCTGTGTTCCATCCATTCTGTGGTTAATCGTCGTTCCCTCCTTCCTTCCTCCGCCTGCAGCCTCTCCCACCACCTCCCTGCCACCGCGGCCGTAGCATGTCCGTTTGTGTCCCCTACTTTTCCTCCACCCCTCCTGCTTTGTCCTGCCTTCCCAACCGGCCCTCCACCCCTCCTCCGATGCTCTCCGCCCCACACTCCCCCTGCCGGGGGTCGGACGACGGCGACACGTTTGCGGGCCGGCTCTCCAAGGCCCTGGAGAGTGTCCTGCCCCTGCATTCCACCCCGCCTCGCCCACGGCAACAACGCCGAGCCAGCCTCCCGGCGCTGTTTGCCAGCCCTGTATGTTAGAGCATCTCTGGCCACAGAGTGGTGTGAACCAGGGTGTAGTCTGGTGGAGCTGGGACCGGAGCTCAGTAGGGCTATCCAGGGTATCTGAAACATGGAGAAGGAGAGACGAAGGACATAATAGTAGAGACACTTATAGAGAGACATAACAAATAGAGAACAGAAGATTCGATGATTGTGTATTCAGATTAATCTTTAATCCACTTTCAGATACCTGTGAGTGAACCCTGCTGTTCTTAGCTTCGGCCCTCTCGCCAGGCGCCCTGTGCTCGCATTAAATACAGACTGTCTGGCACTTCCCTTCCCTCCTAGTGAGACTGGTCAGACTGCTGCTACAGTACACTTCCCTTCCCTCCTAGTAATGGTCCGACTTTGGGTACAGTACACTTTCCCCCCCCTCCCAGTGAGGTGGTCAGTGCTGCTACGTACACTTCCTTCCCTCCTAGTGAGACTGGGCAGACTGCGCTAAGTAACTTCCTTCCCTCCGTGGATGGTCAAGGGGGGGGGGGGGGGGGGGTTTTTCCCCTTTTTGGGGGGGACTCTGCTACAGTACATTCCTTTCCCCCTTTTAGGGACGGGCAGATGTCTCTACACTTCCCCTTTCCCCCTAGTGGATGGTCAGACTGTGCACAGTACACTTCCCTTTCCCCCCTATGGATGGTCAGATGCTGCTACAGTAACTTCCCTTCCCCCTAGTGAGACGGGCAATGTGCTACAGTACACTTCCCTTCCCCCCCTAGTGAGCTGGTCAGACCCGCTACAGAATTCCCTTCCCCCTAGTGAGACTGGTTTAGACTGCTTTACAGTTTCATTCCCCTTTCCCCCCCTAGTGAGACTGCAGCTGCCCGTACAGACACTTCCCTTCCCTCCTAGTGAGACTGGTAGATGCTGCTACAGTACACTTTCCCCTTCCCCCCAGGAGACTGGGGAGACTCTGCTACGTACCTTCCCCTTCCCCCCAGTGAGATGGAAAGGGGGGCTGCGCTACAGTACACTTTCCCTTCCCTCCTAGTGGACGGGGAGACGCTGTACAGCCTCCCCCCCCCTGTGGACTGGAGATGCTGCTACAGTACACTTCCCTTTTCCCCCCTAGTGAGACTGGTCAGCTGCCTTTCGTAACTCCCTTCCCTCCTATGGATGGTCAAACTGCTGACAGTACACTTCCCCTTTCCCCCCTATGAGAGGTCAGAGTGTCAGACCCTTTTCCCAAGGAACTGGGAGAGTGCTACGACCTTTCCCTTTCCCTCTATGGGCTGGTCAACTGCTGCTACGTACACTTCCCTTCCCTCCCATGAGACTGGCAGATGCTCTCCAGTACACTTCCCCTTCCCCCCAGTGAGACTGGCAGACTGCTGTACAGTAAACCTTTCCCTTCCCCCCTAGTGAGACGGGGGAGACTGTGCTACAACCTTCCCTTCCCTCCTAGTGAGATGGTCAACTGCTGCTACAACACTTTCCCCCCCCTCCTAGTGAGACTGGTCAGACTGCGCTCCCGTACACTTCCCTTCCCTCCTGTGAGACTGGTCAGATGCTGCCCGTACCCTTTTCCCCTTCCCTCCCTTAGACGTCAGACGCGGGTCCCCGTACATTCCCCCCCCTAGTGAGGGTGGTCAGACTCTGCTACGTACACTTCCCCTTCCCTCCTAGTGGACTGGTCAGAGCTGCCAGTACACTTCCCTTCCCCCTAGGGACTGGTCGACTGCGCCAGTAAATTCCCCTTCCCTCCTAGTGAGACTGGCCCAAGCGCTACAGTAACTTCCCCCCCTCCTGTGGGGACTGGCAGGGCTGCTGCACAGTACAAAACCCTTTCCCCCCTAGGGGGACTGGTCAGACTGTGTACAGTCCTTCCCTTCCCCCCTTTGGAGATGGGCAGACTGCTGCTAAAATAAAATTCCCTTCCCTCCTAGTAGACTGGTCAAATGCTGCTACAGACACTTCCTTCCTCCTAGTGAGACTGGTCAGATGCGCTAAGTAAATTTTTCCCCCCTCCTAGGAGCTGGTCAGACTGCTGCTCATACCTTCCCTTCCTCCTAGTGGACTGGTCAATGCTCAAGTACCCCCTTCCCTTCCCTCCTAGGAGACTGGGGCAGACGCTGCTACAGTACACTTCCCTTCCCTCCTAGTGAGACTGGTCAGACTGCTGCTACAGTACACTTCCCTTCCCTCCTAGTGAGACTGGTCAGACTGCTTGCTCCAGTACACTTCCCTTCCTCCTAGTGAGACTGGTCAGACTGCTGCTACAGTACACTTCCCTTCCCTCCTAGTGAGACTGGTCAGACTGCTGCTACAGTACACTTCCCTTCCCTCCTAGTGAGACTGGTCAGACTGCTGCTACAGTACACTTCCCTTCCCTCCTAGTGAGACTGGTCAGACTGCTGCTACAGTACACTTCCCTTCCCTCCTAGTGAGACTGGTCAGACTGCTGCTCCAGTACACTTCCCCAATACGAACAACAACTCAAACGCCACAGTTTTGTTTGTCATATCAGCCCATTTACTGGAGTCACAAGGCACAATGTGAGATGTGGACTAAACTAGATTGAACTGTTGAGTAGAGGATATTCACTCTGATCTATGTACAGTCATCTGTTTTATCCAGTAATCTTCATTAAGCAGCAGGTACAATTGAATTAGCATGAACATCATTCACTGTCAGCTTCAAAGGTTTAAACCCCCCAAAATACACGTCATGTAATATAATGTAATGACTTACATTATCATCATGCTAGATTATCATCATGCTAGATAGTTCTGAATATAAAGTGCAGTTTATAATTCATAATTTCATTAAATTAGACTATTATTTTATCAGACACAGTAGCAGCAGTCTGTTGACCTTAAAGGAAGCCATCTTTGCCACATCTGCATTTAATTCCATACCTAAAAGCTATTATTCTGTCTCTGTCTGTACCCTCATCTTTTGGTTAAGTTCTTAGTTGGTTTCTATGCTAGGTTCTTGACTTTCTTTATCCGTTGCAGGGATTAATGCATTAGCAGTGCTATATATTTCTGATATCTCTCTTGTTCTCTTTTGATATACCTCTTCACCCTCTTTTCTCTTTCTATCTCTCTGAATACTACAGTATATAACGGTGCTTCTCTCCCTCATGAAGATGATGCATCTATCTATAATCTTATGTCACTTCAGCCGCAGTCTGTGACTCACCAGTACAGCAGTGGAGGAGGAGTCTCGGCCCCAGCAGGCCTTCCGGACCCCACGCCACCTCTCTTTTTCCCCTCTATCCTGGAGCGCCCCATCTCTTTCTCACCACCGCCTGCCTGCCCTCCCTCCAAGGCCTACAACGCCCAGCGTCGCAAGAGCACGTCCATCTTGGAGGCCCATACACGCCACTTCCAGCCTGCCTACCCCCGCTACGCCAGCAGCCTGCACCCCTACCACCCGGGGATGGAGGGGCTGGGCGTGGGTGGAGGAGGAGTGGATGGGCGACTGGGAGTGGATCCCTCGTCCCTCTTCATGGTGCCTGGCTACGGTGATCCGAGGCTGAGGTCAGTAGGGGAGCCCATGCAGCAGCACCTCCAAGGTCAGTCCCTCCAGGACCCTCTGTACGGGTACAAGGACGTGAGGGCGGAGCAGCAGGAGGAGGTGGTGGAGGCTGTGCGGAGGCTGAGTCTGAACCAGGCAGCGTTGCTGGATCACTTCGAGGCCATGGCCTATAGTGGCTACCCCATGACTGCTCACCAGATCAACCAGATCAGCTTCCACCAGCAGATGCAGGCCGCGGCAGCTGCCAGCCTGGCCGGGTACGACCCTCCACAGCCGGCCTACGCCCAGACCTACCACCCCCACATGCAGAGTCACATGCGCCTCACCCACAGCCCCATCCCTCAGCTGGCCCCCATGAGCGCCTCGGGCTCCCAGGCCTCAGGTACTACCGACGGGTACCTGCTGCAGCACTCCGCCTCCTTCCCCCAGTCCGCTCCCCCAGTCATGGAGCCCCCGCAAGGCAGCGTGTTCGAGTTCCACGTCCAAAACACGGCTGCTGCAGCGGCCGCCGCGGGGGCCGACTCTGGCGTGCTGGCCTCGAGACTGTACCGGGTTCGCCGCGGCTCCATGGACCTCAACCTGGAGGAGCAGGGGGGACCAGGAGGACAGTCAGGGGGGTCTGGGACCTACAGCCGCCTGCAGCCAGTCACTGAGGAACGATACAGCTACGTCAGCCCTGAGATGCCTCTACCTCCTGGGAGCCTGCTACTGCACCAGGGCCAGAAGGACTGCAGCCCGGAACCCTCCAGTGACTCCATGGCCTCCTCTGACTGTGGAGAGTTCCACTCTCCTCCGCCCCAGTTAGGGGCCGCCTCGGCCGCCCAGTCCATCCCACACACCTTCTACGGGGCGGAGGCCGGGGGGAGGGACGCCACCGCAGAAGGCCAGGGAGTTGGGCCACCCCCCCAGCCAGCAGACCTTTCTGTTTGTGCCTCCCTCCGAGGCCCCTGGGCGCCAGTCCTCTCACCTCAACATACTACACACCACCTGGGCCCGACAGACGAACTTCCAACCCGACCTTTCGTACCACGAGTCTGCTCTGGCAATGCAGGGAAACTCTGGGCTGGTACTTAGACCAACCACTCTGTTATTCTATAGCAACCCTCAGCCGTCTACCCTCCACACCAACCCTGTCTTTATCACTTACCTGATTCATTTTGTTTTGTGGTTGTGGTTTTAACCCTTTCCAGCCATGACTGCCCACACTCAAGGGTCCTTTTTAGGAGGTACTACTCTTCAGGAAACACTTAGAAACCTGCTGTTTAAATCCCCTAGTTCAGTTGATGGTCTGTTCTCTTATCAACTAAGGAATGATTTGTATTGGTCTCTTTTGAGTAAGTAAGATTATGTATGTTCATATATGTTATTATATGGAAAAATGTGTGTTTGTATTGGTATACGGTGAGGTATAACTGCATATTGTACGTACGAATCCAAAGTCGAATTGGGCCTTATTTAATATTCAAAAACACCAATTTGTCAAGACACTGCTGTATGGGAATGGGGTCATTCTTGTTGTGAGTAATAATCACAAACTTGTTGCCACATGACTTTGAGGATTTGTATGATCAAACACACAGAAACATACAACAATAAACAGGGGGTTTAGACCGGTTTAACTGTTCACCTGAAGCTTAGATTATTTACATCATAACAAGCCTCTCATCATAGGTTTCTTTAATTTTCCCACTCTATTTTCAAATTGTTGTTTTATTTCATTTTAACAGTTGCTTTTGTACAATAGCTCTGTCTAATTGGCTGGAAATGGTTAAAACGGTATTTCTATCATTTATTATCTGTTGTGACATTGCCAAGGACACCAATCCCAGTAACAGTTCTAGTGGAGGTGTTGCAGCACATCCTGGGCCTTTATAATCAGCTGGTGACCAATAGGAAGACTTTACACTCAGGGGTCAGAGTTCATCCATTAACCCTTAGAATGCTGACATTATCAGTCATCCCACAGCCTCATCTTTTCCTCTGAGCAGCGCTCTTTTTTTTCTCACTTTTTATTTGTTTATTTTGCGATTTTATTTATTGCCGTTTTATTTTCATCTTTACTTCTTAATGCTTTCTGCTCCTAAAGCCTCTTGTTTTCAATGGTAATGTCCTGAGAACAGGGGATGGCAAGGTAGGTGGTCAGCCTGGTGCAAGGATACTTGTGTGAGCTCACTCTAGGGAGTGGTTGAGCTGAGCTTGGGAACAAGTATACTTGCCTGCAGCCTTCTAAGGGTACTACTTTAGTGTTGATTCAGAAGCTAAATGCAGTCCTTACATGGAATTTAAAGGGTTTCAATCAACCAGCAACAACAACAAAAAAATCAGGTTTTATTTTAGTTTTTTCTAAACATATTTAAAAGGACACAACCTGCTTCTTCCATGTGCTCTGTTGAGCAATAACATTCACAAAGTAATGAATCATCAATGCGCCCTACCACATGCATGAAGCCTACTCACTCCCCCCCAACTGACACAACACTGCATTCTGTTACTTGTTATAGTTACCTGTGAATGTGAGTTGTACATGTATACACAAGGAGTCTTGGAGATTCTCTGGAGAGTCAGAGAGGGGATGCCTTGTGTATGTATGTATGTATGTACTGTACAGTACAGTGAGCCAAAGCTTAGGCTAGAATACAGTACTGTACAGTACAGTGAGCCAAAGCTCAGGCTAGAATACAGTACTGTACTGTACAGTGAGCCAAAGCTCAGGCTAGAATACAGTACTGTACTGTACAGTGAGCCAAAGCTCAGGTTAGAATACAGTACTGTACTGTACAGTGAGCCAAAGCTCAGGCTAGAATACAGTACTGTACTGTACAGTGAGCCAAAGCTCAGGTTAGAATACAGTACTGTACTGTACAGTGAGCCAAAGCTCAGGTTAGAATACAGTACTGTACTGTACAGTGAGCCAAAGCTCAGGTTAGAATACAGTACTGTACTGTACAGTGAGCCAAAGCTCAGGTTAGAATACAGTACTGTACTGTACAGTGAGCCAAAGCTCAGGTTAGAATACAGTACTGTACTGTACAGTGAGCCAAAGCTCAGGTTAGAATACAGTACTGTACTGTACAGTGAGCCAAAGCTTAGGCTAGAATACAGTACTGTACTGTATGTCGGAAAGTCACAAATAGATCCTAATTCACCTTTTGTTTTCTCTCCTGTGTCCTCCATATCTCGCTCTCCCTCCATATTGTCTCTCCATCTCTTCACCTATCTCTCTATCCTATTGAAGCAGGTGCAGCAGATCCCGACCCCCCAGCCCAACACTGGACACCCTCTGGCCCCCAACTCCCAGCCAGCCCCCATTGCCCCCCAACAGGTAAGGCCCCCTTTCTCCTCAGGCTCCTATGAGGACGTCCCAGTCCCTTACCAAAGGGGAACATTGAGACATTGCCAGCCACTTGCCAGTGTGGACAAGGGCCAACTTATCCTCCCTCTCCTGTTGTGTTTAGAGTACAGATGCATCGACATGGCAACCAAAATGCCAGACAGACAGTGTTTTTGTTTTGATTGGTCTGTCTGTTTTTAATCTTGGTTGAAGTACAGTATTCTCTCCTGTGTGGTGTGGAAGCTGTGGTGCCTCTCTCTCTTACACTGTGTTGTCTGTTGTCTCTTTTAGCATGGAGGTTACTACGTCACAGCGCTCCCTCCGCAGGTAGACAAACAACACATTCAACATGAAAATGAGCACCTCTCTCTCTAACACACACACACACTCGCGCACGCACACACACACACACACGCTCTATCTGCTTTATCTCTTGGAACATTGAAATAAGCACCTCTCTCTCTAACACACGCTCACACACACACACACACACACACACACACTCACACGCTTCATCTCTTGGATCTCTTGGCTTTGCCCTTCTCTCTCATGAACAAACAGAACTGTAACTGAAATGGCTTTGATGTATATTTGCCAATAGCAGGGGTGAAAGTACATGTAATGTCTTCCCGGTACGGGGACCTCCTATGTGGGCAGTTGCTTGTTTTTTTATGGGCCTAATCATAGAATTACATATAGGATCCCTATTAATTTAATAGGATCTCTATGGGCCTAATAGTATTGATTTGTCTTTTAACTAAATGTATTAGCTTACCTTTTTAATGTGGCATAAACACAACCAGTCAGGATGTTTTCATCTGATTGTCAAACAGTTACTTGAAAAGGCTCATGTAGCCTCATTTACATATTTTCTGCTTATGATTTCCGACATTTGGTAGGCTATTTGTTAGTCAGCTTGTCTATAATTAGATGCATGCAGCTTCTCTTCTGTCATTACTTGATGCTCGTCTAAAATACAAAAAAAAAAGCCTTGCTCACCAGAGTAATGCAATAAATCGATAGAATGATCAATGCATCATCAACAATCTACAGTAGTTACATTTTACATAGTTGACATCGGTAAAGTTGTATCTTTCATTTCTGCTTCTCTCACGCAGCGAGGACGTTTAGGGACCAGGGAGATTTCCAAATTACATCAGTTTGACCGGTTTTAAAAAAATGTAAAAGCTGCGAAAAAGATCCAACATGTTTCTGATAGTATTTCAGTTAATCTTGGATATATATTTTATGTGGTTGAAAATGAAATACTATCAGCTTTTATGGCGCTGAAAGAAATTGCACATTTTGGCTACACAACAGGTCCCTAAGCGTGCCTTCTCATTCTCTCAAGATGCTGAAAGAAAGAAATCATTTTTCTTCACTCCTCTTCCCGAGACAAAATTAACATTTGGTCTGAAATTTTACTGCGAGGAACATTTTAATTGTACATTATGTCCATACTTTAGTTACTATTCTAACTATTAGGCTATTCCACTCTAAAATAATTCCGGCATCCATACGGTGCCGTTTGATAAAAGCAAAGAGACTTCACTTATAAAACACCAAAAAGTTTTACGAGTGACATTCGGTGATTGTCGTCATTCAGCCTACAAAGTCTTGTAACCTGAATTGATGCTTACACTAATATCCGCGGCGCGTCATGGTCTCGGCCGCACATCTCTGCCTTGGCAAAATGTTGAACCACTCCGCGTTTTGGAGTCTATTCGCTCATTTTTCACGCGACCGACATGCAGTAATGATAAATAATGTGCTAGGCTACAGTTGTCTTGGAATATTGAACTATTGTGATAGGCTCACGTTTTACCGGTACAGCGTACCCCCACTTTCTTTTGCCGGTACTCTGTCCTGGAACATTCCGGCTAACCTTCACCCTGGCCTATAGAATATGTTAATAAGATGAGCCATAGGTTAACCCTGTGCAGTATGCGTGTCATCCCTTTTCATCAAGTCACAAGGTAAGTTGGCCGAATGCCAGAGAAAGGTTTTTGCATTCGATGCGAACGTTTACCCCCAAGGCAAATTGTAGCATAAAATTGTAGCATAACTAGATTTGATTGATTGGGTTCAACTGTATAATTACTGTAAGATAAAGGGGAGTATTTTTTGCTATGAAGATCTACAGATGTGTCAGGAATGCAATATGGTCTTAGAGACAGTTCACTCAAAGTTTGCAGACATTTTTTAAAAGAATTATTGTGCTTATCTTTTCCATTCGTGTGATTGAGGCTGGTGTGGGGCATAGTCCCATCTCAACATTAGACTTTTGAGGTCAAAAAACATCTGACAAACTTAGTGAACTGTCCCTTTAACCTTGCTGTGTACTCCTAGTCATGAGTTTGACTGACTGTGTGTCTCTCTCTCTCGCTCTCTCTCTGTCTCTGTCTCTGTCTCTCTCTCTCTCCTCCAGGCCTCTCTCCCCCCCACCTCCCAGCCCATGGTCTCTCTGCCCCAGCAGCAGGCGGGCAGCACCATGGTACAGAGCCCCTCTCAGACCCAGCTACCCCCTGGACCCCAGGCCACACAGGTAAGGGACCAACACAGGCTGTATACACACAGTTCGCACACACTGTACACACGCGCGCACACACACACAGAGTGCACATGCTAACACTGGCCCTTAACCACATGCTATGCACACACATATCACACACACACACACACCTTAATAAAGTTAGAGTGAGGGCCCCCAAACAACCTAACAGATTAATGCATTCATATTCTGTCAGATACTGCATGCATTCATACAGACACATTTTACACAAGCCCGCATATAGCACAGCCCCCTGAGCCAGTGTGTTAACCTAAACCCATGGATGGGTCAACTGAAGGCCTGCCAGAGTCTGAGCCAAGTCAGTAACACAAACCCAAGCCTCCATCAATTATACAGCAATCGATGGAAAACCTTCAGGGGCCATTGGTTACATGATTAGGAGTTTAGTTTTCTCAGTCATAGGCATATGAAAATAGATATTAGTTATAGTGATGTTTTACTGCGTTAGGGGTACAAACATGAACTTCCATCGCCTTCAAAGTTCAACAACTTTGCCAAAATAAACCAAACACTCACAAAAGCCAATGTCAAAATAAAGTACTACAAAGTCTTTGACTAACTCATGTCCATTGTGGTAAGTAATGCTGCACAACCATCTATTTTAAATAATACTTATATTCTCTTTCTATGGAGTATCATCTGTTTCCGTTTCTTGTTAACACTTTTTAACATTCACATTTCTTACTTCAGTTTTCCATCCTTGCTTTCTTTCTGTTTTTATTCCATTCCATTGACTTGCTCACTCTTTCATCCACTCACAACACTTCCATGACATGCTGCTTGTTCCTGCCTGCCTGCCCTGGCCTACCTCCCCTGGCCTGCCCTGGCCTGCCTACCCTGGCCTGCCTGCCCTGGCCTACCTGCCTGTCTGCCTGGTCTGTCTGTATGCATGGTTGGTGGTCTTCAGCTGTGTGCTAGTGAGCTGGGCACCTCTTTTATGTCCCCTTCGCCCAGCGTAGAACACCTTTACTATCTCTATCAGGCACACCAACTAGCTCTGGTCCAGGTACACTCACTGTACTGTTATTATAGCTAGCTCTGGTCCAGGTACACTCACTGTACTGTTATTATAGCTAGCTCTGGTCCAGGTACTCTCACTGTACTGTTATTATAGCTAGCTCTGGTCCAGGTACACTCACTGGACTGTTATTATAGCTAGCTCTGGTCCAGGTACACTCACTGGACTGTTATTATAGCTAGCTCTGGTCCAGGTACACTCACTGTACTGTTATTATAGCTAGCTCTGGTCCAGGTACACTCACTGTACTGTTATTATAGCTAGCTCTGGTCCAGGTCCACTCACTGTACTGTTATTATAGCTAGCTCTGGTCCAGGTACACTCACTGTGCTGTTATTATAGCTAGCTCTGGTCCAGGTACACTCACTGTACTGTTATTATAGCTAGCTCTGGTCCAGGTACACTCACTGTACTGTTATTATAGCTAGCTCTGGTCCAGGTACACTCACTGTACTGTTATTATAGCTAGCTCTGGTCCAGGTACACTCACTGTACTGTTATTATAGCTAGCTCTGGTCCAGGTACACTCACTGTACTGTTATTATAGCTAGCTCTGGTCCAGGTACACTCACTGTGCTGTTATTATCGCTAGCTCTGGTCCAGGTACACTCACTGGGCTGTTATTATAGCTAGCTCTGGTCCAGGTCCACTCACTGTGCTGTTATTATAGCTAGCTCTGGGCCAGGTACACTCACTGTACTGTTATTATAGCTAGCTCTGGTCCAGGTACACTCACTGTGCTGTTATTATAGCTAGCTCTGGCCCAGGTACACTCACTGACTGTTATTATAGCTAGCTCTGGTCCAGGTACACTCACTGTACTGTTATTATAGCTAGCTCTGGTCCAGGTACACTCACTGTGACTGTTATTATAGCTAGCTCTGGTCCAGGTACACTCACTGTACTGTTATTATAGCTAGCTCTGGTCCAGGTACACTCACTGTGCTGTTATTATAGCTAGCTCTGGCCCAGGTACACTCACTGGACTGTTATTATAGCTAGCTCTGGTCCAGGTACACTCACTGTACTGTTATTATAGCTAGCTCTGGCCCAGGTACACTCACTGTGCTGTTATTATAGCTAGCTCTGGCCCAGGTACACTCACTGGACTGTTATTATAGCTAGCTCTGGTCCAGGTACACTCACTGTACTGTTATTATAGCTAGCTCTGGCCCAGGTACACTCACTGTACTGTTATTATAGCTAGCTCTGGTCCAGGTCCACTCACTGGACTGTGTTATAGCGCTGGTCCCCACTAGGGTGGTAGAATGTGTTTGTGTGTGTGACTGTACCTGTGTCCATTTCCAGTAGTATCAGCTGTCCTCACTTAGTACCTCTTGTGTTGTTGTTGTTTGGACCCCATTAGAAAAGTATATGTCCTTCAGTGTCCTCTGTGTGTGTGTTTGTCGATAAATGTGAATTGAGGTCTCATGGACGACAATGGCTGTTCCATTAGAGTCCATGTTAGTGACCAACAGTATGGCGTCTCGTGTCACAGCAGGCGTGTTGTGCCACTGTGTGGAGAGAGCCTCATAAGGTGTCCTGTCCACACCTTAGCACTGCTTTGTTCTCACAGTGCAGTTTAAATGTTGGTTTGTTGACTTTTTTTTTTTTTCTGTGTCGTGCCATTTGTGAAACACATCGTGTTTGGTCGCATGTTGTTGTGGTGCGTGCCTTGGTGTTGACTTTGTTTGTTTAGTAGTGTATGCACAGTCTTCAATTCTGTCACGCCCACCATACATACTCTTATCCCCTTGAGTTTTGTTCCTTTAGTCACCCTTTAGTCAACCACCAACATAATATCCATCCCATAGAAGTAGACTTACTATTTCTATGATCCATAATCCGCCCACTCGAACCTAGTTCCCATGACACTTCGTTACCCCAGCCAGTCCTAACCTGACCTGACCCGCCCCTTGCTCTCCTCCTCCCGCCCCCAGCCCTGCAGTATGGCACCACCTCCTACTCCTCCCTCCTCAGTGGGGCTTGTCTCTGTGGCACAGATGGCCTTCAATCAGCCCTCGGTCCCGGTTACTGCAGCTGCAGCCCAAGGGGCGGTCTCACCCCTGCAGCCGACCCCTGGGGGAGCCCTGGTGCCCCCACAGACCCCCCTAGCGGCTGCAGTCTTGCCTCTGCCTCCTGGGGCTCATCCTCTACCTGGTTCTATATCTGCACCCACTCTGGTGACTCAACCCCCGCCGGCGCCGCCTGCCTCCCCTCTGCCGCCCCAAATGATGCCTACTCAGCCGCTGGTCGTTGTTGTACCCATCATCAGCGTAGCCAGCGCCTCCCCAGAGCCGCCAGGAGATGCCCAGCCCCAGGTACCTGTGGTCAGCCAAACCCCCTTCGTCATGTCCCCCCTGCCTGGTCGTATAGATGGATGGATGATGGAGAGTAGTTCTTTGACCATAGCTGGTTTGCCGTGTTTCGTTGATGTATGTTTTGGTATTTAAATTAGTCCTGAGTTGGTTGTGTGAAGTTGTGGATGTGTATAGTCATATATTTTATGGTTACAAGTAGCTAGATGTGGATGAAACATTCTGGACATGGGCCGACTCATATTTCTACTCTCACATGCTTTTTAACGGTTTCTTTAGACCAAGTCTCATATTCTGCCTCTCGTTTAACCTCAATACCTTCTGAAACCCTTCATCTCCGAAGACCACAGTACTTTTGCACTGTCTTTATTGTAAGAAGTTTCACACGGTTCTCTGACCCTTTGTTCTCCCGTGTGTTCCAGCCCTCTCAGACTGCTCCTCAACCTTCGTCATTGGAACAGTCACAGTTACAACCACCACCAGTGCCCTCATCCATGGAGAGGTAAGATACATGTTTAATACATGTTTAACTGATGGTAAAGATATACAAATCGAGATTTATAAGAGATGGGAAAGATATACCGGTACCGGAGTGCCAAGTCTAGGTCCAAAAGACTTCTTAACAGCTTCTACCCCCAAGCCATAAGACTCCTGAACAGCTAATCATGGCTACCCAGACTATTTGCATTGTCCCCCCTCCCTCCCCCTCTTTTACGCTGCTGCTACTCTCTGTTTATTATCTATGCATAGTCACTTTAATAACTCTACCCACATGTACATATTACCTCAATTACCTTGACTAACCGGTGCCCCCGCACATTGTCTCTGTACTGGTACCCCCTGTATATAGCCATTTGTTATTTTATTTTTTCTGCTGCTCTTTAATTATTTGTTGTTTTTTACTTATCCATTTTTTACTGAAGACTTATTTTTCTTAAAACTGCATTGTTGGTTAAGGGCTTGTAAGTAAGCATTTCACTGTAAGACCTGTTGTATTTGGCACATTTGATTTGATTTATTATATTAAGTGGAGAATGTAAAAATAATGAATTCCAAATCAATTAAGTTTCAAAGATTAAATGTTTTTACAATTCCAATTCAAAAAGTCGGGAGGGGGAGGGGGGTAGGGAGAGAGGGAGAGAACCACAACACAATTAGACCCAACCAAATCATGACAAAAGACAATTACTTCACACATTGGAAATAATTAACAAAAAAACAGCGCAAACTAGAATGCTATTTGGCCCTAAACAGAGAGGCAGAATACCTGACCACTGTGACTGACCCAAACTTAAGGAAAGCTTTCACTATGTACAGACTCAGTGAGCCTTGCTATTGAGAAAGGCCGATTTGATGATTAGAGTCATGGTTTTGGTTCTGCCTTTGGTCTGTCTCATTTGGTTTTATTAGAGGCTTGGTGCCTCGCTCTCATTCTTCAGATTATGTGTGTGTGTCTCCCTCAGCGGTCACTCCGACGTGGCGTCCGGTCTGAGCGACGGAAATGATGGAGGCAGACAGGAGGGGCGCTCGATCAAGCGACACCAGCGGCGCTCCGTACGGAGTCGCTCTCGCACCGACAAGATTGGCAAAGCAAAGTTGAATGTTCTAAATGTAAGAGTCAGCCCAGGGGAAATGAACCAAACCAATATATACTACATGAAACACCATTTTTCATTAGTGTGTTTAGCACCTGGAATAAGCATGTTATTTTTGTATATATCATAGCTTTGATTTACATAACCTTTCAATTGCCCTAGCCGTTGCATGGTGCTCAGTGTTCTTGTCTCCAACCAGCTGAGATAGTTTTTCATTCAGTTCAATAAGTTTTATTTTCTTGGAAGGTGTTCTCCAATAGGAGCATATAGCATGTGATTAATGTCTGTCTCTGGTGTGTAACTCCCTGTACTGATACCTACCTACTTGAGTTACCTCGCACAGCATCATTTAGGCCCTACTGATTAGACAGACAGACACAGAGCCATTCAAACAGGCCGTGTGATTTCTGTCGATAAATCTGAAGAGCTGCTCTCTTTCATCCTTTCATCTCATCCCCCTCTTATTCTCACCTCTGTTCCTTCCTTTCTTTGTTCCAGATATCCAACATGGGCGACAGGGTAGCTGAGTGCCAGTTGGAAACGCACAACAGAAAGATGGTGACTTTTAAGTTCGATCTGGACGGAGATAACCCAGAGGAAATAGCACAGATTATGTACTCCGACTTACTGCTCCTCTCTCTCTCATCTCTCTTCTCTCTTCTCTCTCTCTCTTGCTCCTCTCGTACTCTCGTCTCTGTCTCTACTCTCTCTGTCTCTTCTCTCTTCTCGTCCTCTCGGTACTGGCTCCATCTATGTCTCGTCTCGCTCTGCTCTCTCTCCTCTTCTCCTTCTCTCTCTCTCGCTCTCCTCTCTTCTCTCTCTCCTCTCCTCCTCTGTGGCTCCTCTCCGGCGTCTTCTCTGTCTCTTCCTCGTCTCTCTCTCTCTCCTCTCTCTCGTCTCTCTCTCTCTGCCTCGTCTCTTCTGTCTCTTCTCTCTCTCTCTCTCTCTCTCCCCCTCTATCTCTCTCTCTCATTATTGAGCCATCTCCCCCCTCTGATTGCAGTAGCCCAGAATCCCAACAGTGTTGTGATGTTCCCTGATGATATTTGTCCCAGGCATGTAGCTACTTGTCAAAATGTCATAGAGAATAATGAAAGGCCTTATTTCATCAGACTTTCCAGGTGTTTTTACTTTGATTCATCCATTTTAGAAATGATGAATCAATCCAACCATCAGTGATTTACTCTACTGTTGCAATCTTTTTGAGAGGCAAGCATTGTGATGCTGAGGAGAATGAGGACTGCGATTGAGAGGGCTGTTATGGGTAACTGAATTATTTTCTGGTGTGTGACTACAGGTCACGAGTGTGTTTATACTGGAGAGTGAGAGGGAGTCGTTCATCGAGCAGGTCCGTGAGGTCATCGAGATGGCTGACGAGAAGGGTCTGGAGAAAGATGGAAACATCCAGGTAGAGGGCCGTCTCCATTCATTTTTCCTCATGTTGTTGCTGCGAAAGACCATCATTCTTAAGCCAATGTACCTGTTAAAGAAAGGTTAAATAACTTCATCATGGATCGTTGAAATTGGTCGTTTTACTGTATTAGACTCTGACTCCATCTTGTGTCACAGATTGTTTCCCAGATAGTTAGTGACCTCCAGCAGCAACAGATCCCTGCTATATCTGAACCGTTGCCAGGTAAAACAACCAACAAAATGTCCACACAGGGAATTGGTACCCTACCAAAAAAATTACAGACATGTTTTGCATGAGATTTTTCCATCTGCAGGCCAATTTGTTGTACCATGAATCGTATAACCACACAAGAACTTTACCTCACTGAGAAACATAAACGTAATGAATTCAATAGAGGCGCCCATTTTGTATTAACCCTATGTGTGACCCTACCATCTCAGCATCTCTCTTTTCTCTCTCGCTTTCTCCAGGTATCCCTTCCAGTGCAGCCCAGGTGGTCCACTCTGCAGGCAGGAGGTTTATAGTCAGCCCCGTGCCTGAGGCCAGACTCAGGGATCAGTTCTTTGCTGAGGCTGCTGGCTCTGCACTACTGAGACAAGATTCACAGTCCTCTAACAGTGAGTTTAGCGTGCTCACACACACGCACAGTGGCAGCCTACCAATAAGTTATCTTATTAGTCCACAAGATAATGCATTCAGCCATGTTGATGTTTCTGAAAACCGGGATCATCTGACTGATGTAAAATGTTGTTGTATTGTAAAGTTAATATTAAAAACATCACATGTGTACGAATGTCTCGTTGCTATATAATAGTTGTTTCGTTACAGTGTCCTATCTGTGGTGTATGGCCTGTTTTTAAAGGTGGTGGCTAACATCAGTGTTTTACTTAGTGATGGGGTTTGGTGTTGACCCATGTCTCTCTCTCTGTGTCTCTCTGTCTCTCTCTCTCTCTCTCTCTCTCTCTCTCCCCATCTCTCCCTCTGTTTCTCTCCCCATCTCTCCCTCTGTTTCTCCGTTCCCCTGCTGCCCGTGCTGTAGCTGCGGGTCAGGGTCTGTCCCAGTCGGCCTCAGCGGTTAGCCTGCAGCAGGCCTTCTCAGAGATGAGACAGAACCAGGACCATTACGACCCAGGGCCCAGCACCGCTCCTCCCTCCATCCACATAGCCTCCCTGCCTGCCCTGGGCCCTGCTGCAGCAGCAGCCACCTCCACCACTATCCCAGTCTTCTCCACTGCTCCTATAGCCTCTGCTCCTCTCCCATGCTCAGGTCCCATCTGAGGCCTCTGTGACCTCCCCTCCCCCCTCAGTCTCCATCTCCCCTCCAGCCTCCATCTCCACCTCTCCACCTGCAACCATCCACCAGGCCACTGCCCCCATCCCCACCCAGCTCCAGTCTGTTGCTCCCCAGCCCCAGGCTCTCCTTTCCCAGGCCCCTCTCTCCCTGCCGGTGACCCAACCCGTGGTCTCCTCCGTACCAAGTGTTACAGCCCCAATCTCTGCCCCAGCTGCCTCTGTGTCCCCCCCAGCCCCTACTGTCCTCCCCAACACAACTACCCTGTCCACCTCAGCCTCTTTCCCCCAGACCTCTGCCCCAGGCTCCATCCCTGGTGGTCCCACCACCTCCATACCCAGTACAGTCCTTTGTCATTCCGCCACGGCCCCCCTGGTCAGCAGCTGTAGCAGTGGTAGTGGAGGTGGAGGAAGCTCAGAGCAGCTCCCTGTCCCCTCCACTGCTGTCCCACAGCTCACCACTACCGTAGTCCTCACCACGGCTATCCAAGGCCCCCTGCTAGCCCCCTCCATTGCTAACCCCGGTACCCAGCTCCCTCCTTCCTCCACCCCTGTAGCACCTCTAGACCCTGGGGCCACTGTCTCTACCTTACAGCCCGTCACCGCCACCATCCCCGTGGTCCAGCCCACCCTGGTGCCCAGCCAGACCCACGCCCAGTGTGGGGAGTGTGAGGCAGCCCTGGGCATTGATGACATCCACACCCTGGATAAGAAGCTTCGCTCCCTCTTCATGGACCTGGGCGTCGGTGGAACCACCCAGGCCGATGGCTCTGTCGACCCAGCCGGAGGCACTGGTGTCCCGGGTACTTCTTCCCCCACCGGCCCCTCATCCACCCCCAGCTCCACAGGCACCCCCCTGCCCCCCTCCAGCCTCCCCCTGGCCTCGTCAGGGCCAGGGCATGGCTCTGGGACCCCCCTCACCACCCAGGGACAGGCTGGGACCCCTTCCGCCTACACCCAGACTACCCCCGCCAAAGCACCTCTGTCTAGGTTACCGGTGAGTCAGTCAGCATGGATGTGGATGCGAGCTTATTAGATATGGCTTGAAGAGCACTGTTTATAACAGATACAGTATGTTTATAAACCATTAAAGCTTTTTATGACACCTTTAAGTAAGGTAAGTTTGTGTCATTTTGTATTTGTAATCTTTTGGAGAATTATACATAATTATTACATAGTTGACATACCCAGTTATTACGTAATTATAACATATTGACATGTGATTGGGCCAACTCCACTTTCTAACAGCCTTTGTTAACCCCTCCATCAACTGCTTTGTCTCCTAACATTTGCTGTGCTTTATGTTGCATGCCAACAGCTCTATTCTATACTGTGGCCCTAGATATCATGTAGCCTGACCACATAGTTGTTAAAGCCCTCCACAGTAGTTAGGTGTAATTTCTAGGGTTTTGTCAAACAGCTTATAGATGAGATATGTTAATGGTTAAAAGCTTATAGATGAGATATGTTAATGGTTAAAAGCTTATAGATGAGATATGTTAATGGTTAACAGCTTATAGATGAGATATGTTAATAGTTAAAATTGCAAATACATAAAGTAATACACGACTACACACGTCTGACATTTTATGTACTTAGCAAGTAGATGTCTGACCTTGATAACTGGTAGATGTCTGACCTTGAGAACTGGTAGATGTCTGACCTTGATAATAGCAATTAGGCACCCTGGAGGTTTGTGGTATATGGCCAATATACCACGGCTAAGGGCTGTATCCAGGCATTCTGCGTTGCGTCGTGAGTAAGAACAGCCCTTAGGCTTGGTATATTGGCCATATACCACACCTCCTCGGGCCTTATTGCCTAAGTAGACAATCAACTAAGACTGTAGTGTTAATGTCCAAAGTCCCAGTCAGTGTCAGAGAGCTGCAGGTAGAATCCCCTGGCCGTCCAGCTGCATGTGGCTGCAGTGCATTATGTTTTCCTGTCTCTCCTGGATGATAAAGGGCCTTCTCTCCGTTTCATCCCTCTCTTCTTCCCTCTGTTTATCAGGTGTTGCCTGTGGGCTCAGATCAGGCTCAGGCCGGCACCCCTCCTCCCTCAGACCACATGGCATCCTTCCCAGGACCCTGTCTAACTCAGGTGCCTTTCCCTCTTTCTCCTGACTGCCATATTGATCCATCCATCATCCCTCTCTCTCTCTCTCTCTCTCTCTCTCTTCGCGTCTCTCTCTCTCTTCAGCCGGTCTCTCTCTCTCCTCGCTGTCTCTGTTCCTCTGTCTGTGTCTGTCTGTCTCGCTCTCAGCTCTCTGGCTGTCCGAAATTTCTCGCATCCCTCGCGTCTGTCTCTGTCTCTCGCTGTCCTGTCTGTCTTCTGTCTCACATCTCTGCGGTCCTCTGTGTCTCTGTCCTCTCTCAGTCTCTCTCTCTCTCTCGCTGTCTCTCTCTCTCATCTGTCTTGTCGTCTGTCTGTCTCGCTCTCCTCTGTCTGTCCCCTGTCTCCTCTCTCGCTGTCCTGTCTATGTCTCCTTCGCGGTCTGTCCTGTCTGTCTGTCGCGCTCTGTGTCTCTGCGTCTCCCTGTCCTCTCTCTCATCTTGTCTCTCGCCTCTCTGTCTCGCTGGCCTGGCCTCTCTTTCTGTCCGCTCTGTCTCTGTCTATCGCGAGTTCTGTCTCCTCTGTCGTCGCTGTGCTCTCTCTTCTGTCCTTCGCTTTCGCGCTGTCCTGTCTCTGTCTCTCTCTGTCTCTGTCTCTGTCTCTCTGTCTGTCTCTCTGTCTGTCTCTCTCTCTCTCTGTCTCTCTCTCTCTCTCTCTCTCTCCTCTTCTCATCTCTCCTCTCTCCCCCTCCTCTGTCTGTCTCTCTCTCTCTCTGTCTGTCTGTCTCTCTCTCTCTCTGTCTGTCTCTGTCTCTCATCCCTCCACCTCCCTCCTCCCATCTTTATTTGTCTCCTGTGTAAAAACAAGCGAAGCATGAGGAAGATGGCTGCACTATAATCAGATCAGGCTCAATCTGTTCAGCGCATGAAGAAGACATCTCTGTCTCTGTTTCTCTCTGTGTTGGAGGAGCAGCATGATGACTCTCATTAACGACATCTGTACACCTGGGACCCAACACCGTCTGTCTGTTTCCGACTGTTTTTACCTGAGTCTACATTTCTCTCCTCTCTCTTTCTGTTCGAATCTGTCTTGTCTCTGCCTCTCTCTTTCTCCTGCTCCTCTATCCCGCTCTCTCTCCTCCTGTCTCTCTCTCACCCCCCCTCTCTCCTCCTGTCTCTCTCTCACCCCCCCACTCTCTCACCCCCCCTCTCTCTCCTTCTCTCTCACTCTCACCCCCCCTCTGTCTCTCCTATCATCACCCCCCCTCTACGCCCTTCTGTCTCTCTCTTCACCCACCCTCTCTCCTTCTTCTCTCTCACCCCCTCTCATCTTCTGTCTCTCCGACACAACAACATCCCACCCCTCTCACCTACAAAAAAAAACATCAACGGTCTCTCTCCTCTCCTTCTTCTGTCTCTCTCTCCGCCTCCTTTCTCTCCTCACCCCCCCCTCTCTCCTTCTGTCGCTCTCTCACCCCCCCACCCCCCCTGCTCCGTCTGTCTCTCTCTCTTCTCTTCTCCGCTCTCTCTCACCCCCCTCTCTCTCCTGTCTGTCTCTCTCACTCACTCCCACTCTCTCTCCTTCTCTGCTCTCCACCCCCCTCTCCCCGTTCTGTGTCTCTCTCTTCTCTCTCTCACCCCGCCGTCTCTCTCCTTCTGTTCCTCTCTCACCCCCTCTCGCTCTCTCCTTCTTGTCTCTCTCTCCCCCCCCTCTCTCCTTCTGTCTCTCTCACCCCCCCTCTCTCCTTCTGGCTCTCTCTCACCCCCTCTCTCTCCTTCTGTCTCTCCTCACACCCTCACCCACCCTCTCTCCTTCTTCTCTCCTCACCCCCCCCTTTCTCCTTCTTCCTTCTCTCACCCCCGCTCTCTCCTTCTGTCTCTCTCCCCCCTCTCTCTCCTTCTGTCGCTCCTCTCTCACCCCCCCTCCTCCCTTCTGTTCTCTCTCTCATCCCCACCCCTCTCCCTCTCTCTCTCTCACCCCCCTCTCTCCTTCGTCTCTCTCTCTCCTTCTGGTCCTCTCTCTCTCCCCCCCCACCCCCCCTCTCTCCTTCTGTCCTCTCTCTCACCCCCCCTCTCTCCTTCTGTCGCTCTCAACCCCCCCCCCCTCGCTCTCTCGTCTCCTCACCCCCTCTCTCTCTCCTTCTGTCTCTCTCTCTCCACCTCTCTTTCTCATCCCACCCCCCCCTCTCCCTTCGTCCTCTCTCTCGCACCGAACCCCCCCCTCTCTGCCTTCTGTCCGCTCTCGCTCCTTCCGGTCTCTCTCTCCTCACCCCCCTCTCTCCTTCTGTCTCCTCTCAACCACCTGCTCTTCGTCCTTCCTCTCTCTCGACCCCCCTCTCTCTCCTTCGTCTCTCTCTCACCCCCGCTCTCCTTCTGTCTCTCTGCCACCCCCCCTCCCTTCCCCCCCTCTCCTATCTGTCTCTCCTCACCCCCCCTCTCCTCTTCGCTCTCTCTCCTTCCTCTCCTCCACCCCCCCCCTCCCGTCCTTCTGGGCTCTCTCTCTCCAACACCCCCTCTCTCTCCTTCTGTCTTCTCTCACCCCCCCCCCTCTCCTTCTGTCTCTATCTCACACCCCCCTCGTCCTTCTGTCTCTCTCTTCGCAACTCTCCTTCTTCTTCCTCTCTCCAGCCCGCCCCCTCTCTCCTTCTCTCTCTCGCGCACCCCCCCTCCCCTTCGTCTCTCTCTCCCCTCCCTCTCGCTCCTTCTGTCTCCTCTCATACCCCCCCCCTCTCTCCCTTCTGTCTCTCCTCTCTATCTCATACTCTACCACCCTCTTCTCTCCTTCTGTCTCTCTCGCTCACCCCCCTCTCTCTCTCCTTATGTCTCTCTCTCACCTCACCCCCCCCCTCGCTCCTTCTGTCTCTCCTTCTCTCCCTCTCACCACTCTCCTCACCCCTCTCGGCTCCTCTGTCTCTCTCCTTCTCTCTCACCCCCCCTCTCTCTCCTCTCCTTCTGTCTCTCTCTCACCCCCCCCCCCCTCCTCTCTCTCTCTCTCTCTATCTCTCATCACCCCCTCTCTCTCCTTCTGTCTCTCTCTCTCACCCCCCCTCTCTCTCTCCTTCTGTCTCTCTCTCTCACCCCCCCCTCTCTCTCCTTCTGTTTCGCACTCGGTCTCTTTTTTTTTAGATCAGCTTTAATATTGCAGATAGATTGTAACTTCCATCAATGTAATTGTCTGCATCACTTCCAATCCCCATATGTTTTTTTTTCGCGCAAACATAACATGGATAAAAGCGTCTGCTAAATGGCATATTATTATTATATTATATCCTTTTTTACAATATATTTCCCTTTATTACTTTCCTCTTTCTGTCTTTCTCCTTCCTCTCTCTTTCTCCAGACAGACCGTTAGGGAGGATGGGGGTAGTTGGAGCTGGGTGGAGATAAATATGACTCATCTTCATTTGTCAAAGGGGTTTCTGTCAGTACAATATTTTAATAGTTTTCTTCCACGAAGAAAGCGAAGAGTCGCCAAGCAAAATATTACATCCAGACAGAGTTGTTCTCTCCCATATTATGCCCCCAGCGCATTCTTTCATAAAAAATAAATCAACTAGGGAATAAAAAGGAAAGACAGAGAAGACGGGCTCCCCCGGGCGACGGGTGGAGATTACGGTTTCATTTATACCCAGTCAGGCAGTGTTGTCAACAGCGTGAATCTAAAAATAGATCAAACCTAGCAAACCAGAGCATTGTTCTTTGTAAGGCAGAGTGGTTCATTATTTGCTTTCATCTGTAAGAATTATATATAATTTACTACCTCTCCTAGCTTGTGTAAGTTTCCGTTCAAAGCTCGCTCTGGTCTGAGGTGATTTGATCTTGAGAAAGAGACTGGCTTTAATGATTCTTATGTGAAATTCTTTAAAGGAAATTTCAAACATTTTCAACTTCATATACATCATCTCCAGCATCACCCCAACATCAATATGTGTGAAAATGGCACGTTTCTATGTTTTGTAGAAAAAAAGATAGTGGAAGAAAAGCATTTCCAATGACATCATCGGTGTTCATCATGTGATTTTTACCAATTATGAGGAGGCATTGCCAATACATTTAGTCTACTAATTGGTTGATGATGTCACTGGAAACACTTACCTTCCTCTATCTTTTTGACTACAAAATATAGAAACGTGCCATTTTCACATATGTTGACGTTGGGGTGGTGCTGGAGATGATGAATATGAAGCTGAGAAAGGGTGAAATGTCCCTTTTAATATATAGATTTTTAACTTCACCTGGATACCTTGGCTTGAAGCCAGTGTTTGACTAAATAAAACCCAATCAAGGATTATACCTAAATCTTTCAGTCTTTCAAATGTAATATGGAAAAATGAAAGCTAAACTTTTTCTGTGATTCACAGAAATAACTACATTTTGCTAGATGAAATTCAACACTAATTAATGTCTAGAGACCAATTAGTTTGATGTGTTCTGAGGGTGGTGTGTGTCACCATGTTAGGATGTGTTGCTGTCTGTTTGACTAATGTCTATAAGGGGTTGTTGTTGCCCACTAGTCCCAGCAGCCTCTGGAAGACCTGGATGCCCAGCTGAGGAGGGCCCTGAGCCCAGAGACTGTCTCTGTCAGCTGTGTCACCACACAGGTACCATAGCCACACACACACGCCCCCTTCAGGCCCGGAGGAACGTATTCCTTTTTGTTGTTGTTGAAATGTTACATTTAGTATGTAAAAGCAGATGAATACTATTTCTTCTAATCTGTGTTTTGTAGTTGAAATGAGTTATTGTTATTATTCTGTGCTCTCTAATACTGACATTACTGTCGTGGTGCTATGTGGAATGTTTGTTGGTGTGACTCAAGACATGACAGTCACAGTGTGTTCTCCCCCATGTACCACAGTCCTCACTCACTGGGATGCATGCAGGTGGCCAGCCAGGTGTGTTACTTCAACATCTATCCTTACTCCATTTTGAAATGGTCATGCTACCTGTTAGTGTGTTATCCTTTCTTTTGGGATGTTTTGCCGATTTGTTGCATTGTAACATGATGATATCTCATTGGCCGTTTCAGTGCCTTTCCCGCTGGAAGGGGAATCAATCACGTTGCCTATTGCTGGAGGATTCCAACTGGGAGGATCCCAGGTATGGACTTCGAACTGTACCTTTCCAGCTCTATTTACATGATTGGAATATTACAGCAGTGTCTGCCTGGTGGTCAGAGTCTGCAATCTCTATGTACTTCATCTATCTCTCGTCAGAATAGTTTGATATGATTGTAGTGATAGTCCTTATGGTTGATCTGGGCCTTTAAATTCTGTCTGTTTTCATAATCTCTGTCTCTCACTTCTCCCCCCAACCCCAGGTCTCTGTGGCTGCAGACGAGGGTCCCGTCCGTGCACACCCCCCCAGGAGCCCCACAACATCCTCCACCTCCTCTTCCTCCTCCTCTCTCTCCAGCCCGGAGAACACACTGCACAAAGCCTCCTCCCCACTCCGCAGAGGTAAGACGGCTGGGGGAGATGTGGTGGACGGCCTGCCCTCCCTCCCCCACCGGACCGCCTCCCCTCAGCCCACCACCATCGGCCGCTTCCAGGTCACCACCAACACACCGGAGGCCAGGGTGGGCCGCTTCTCAGTGAGCCGAGCCCAGGATGTGGCAGCCGAGGCTGGGTTGGAGCAGCCACCCGCTTCCCAGACTAACGGGCCTAGTACTGGTCCTGGCTCGGCCACCATGCTCCTCAGCCCAGAGGACAAACAGAGCTCCCTGCCCAGCCTCAACAACTCCTTCAACTCCTACTTGAGCTCTGATAACGACTCTGAGTTTGAGGACGAGGACTTGAAGAGGGAGGTCAACCGGTTACGAGAAAAGTAGGTTTACCCTGTTTCTCTCCTCTCTTCTGCTCGACTGACATGTTCCTGTTTGCTGTTCCAAAAATAACCCTTCTTGAATCAGCACATTTAAGGGCTTATGGTTCCATTCCTAAAACTCCAACATGTCCACCTTCACCTGAAATGTTCCTGTGTTATTATACTGATGGGATTTTGGGGCAGATTTTAGGTTGATGTGCTGTCCATTCATCTCCCTCTCATCTCCTCTCCAGGCACATGAAGGAGATCCAGGCCCTGCACACCAAGCAGAAGGATGAGATTGACTCCCTGTTCACTAGGCTGGGCAAGGTACCGCCGGCCGTGGTGGTCCCTCCAGCTGTAGCCCTGGCCAGTCGCAGGAGACGACCCACCAAGAGCAAGAGCAGCAAGTCTAGCCGCTGCAGCTCCTCCCAGGGCAGCAAGAGCCCCCTGCAGCCAGGTACTACTAACCCCTGACCTCTGTCTGAACTGGTCGTATCAGCAAGAGCCCCCTGAAACTTTTGACCTTAAAGTGTGTTAGAGCCAGAGACAGAAGAGGAAGCGAGACACCCCACTCCCTGTTTTTTTTCTGGTTCAATTGAAGTCAATGAATTTAGTAGACCAGACCCAGCTGCTATTGCATTGGTGTCTATGGGAGATTAAAAATATATATTTTTACGGTAAACGGTCGGAGTGAACGATCTTCATTTATACACCATCTTTGTTAGAGCCCACTGTAGCCAGGTACTGACCTCTAATCCCTGACCCTTGACCTCTAACCTGTGGTCCTCCTCAGTAGAGGGAACTGGCAGAGACAGTGTGTTAGAGTAGGGACTGTAACTGTACTGTACTCGCTTTCTCCTCTTCACAGGGCTACTTGTGGCAAACCAATCTTCTCTTCTCTCCTTCCTTCACTTTTAAACCATACAGTCAACTAGCTGTATTGTTTATGCTGTAACCCTGCACTGTGCAACCTAGCTAGCTACACTGTGGTTGTGTGACCTGCACCCTACCTACCTACACTGTGTGAGAGTCACTGTGTGCGTGTCTGCACTTTGAGGCTGTTCCCCTGACCTGTCCTCCTCCCTCCCCTGTTCTCCTCCTCTGTGTGTATGGTGTCTGTGTGTGTCAACTTCAGGCAGCACTTTATCTGCACAGAGCGCTCCCTCAGTGTACCCACCCCACCAGGCTCTCCTCCTGGCCCCTGGTCTGGCCCCTGGGGGCCTCCCCGACCTCCACCCTGCCTCAGGGAGCCGACCCCGGCCCCTCAAGCATCTCGGCCCCTCCAGTGAGAACCTGTGCTCTGCCTACACCAGCGACGCTACGCTGTCCGTGCCCAGTCTCTGTGCCCCCACCCAAGGTAGGCCTCCGTACGGCGCCCTACTGCCTAGGCCTTGGCTCTCATCCCTACGTCCCATTCATTCTTCCACCTGCCTCCAGTAGGCCTCATTTGCCTTGTCTGTCGAGGAAAAGTTCATCTACCCCCCCCCCCCCCCCCCCCCCCCACCACCACCACCACCACCACAGGGATGGAAATTAGTAGCGTCCCCATCCTCCTCTTCATACCATCCCCCCAAAAAGTCTGTCCGTCATAATGGTCTCTATTTGGGTGTTTCTCTGTCTTGTCCTGTCCTGTAGTTTATCAGATGACAACTTACCACTAGGGTTGGTACAGTAGAGGAATGTTTGACAGAGCCAATTTGGTCTGATACAGACGGTAGCACTGGACTGTAGTGTTGGGAAGGCTTACGATAATCCTGATGGATTTCACTTCCTGAAAAAAATCCCCATTCGGTCGGGGAACACTATTGCTCTGGCTCAAGACTATGGTGCATGTTGGGTATTTCAATTGGACTGTTGATTTGGGCACCTCTGTTGTCTCAAGCTAGCCTTTCTTCTACACACTCAGTGGAAGCTCCATTACTAACTGTCTGGATGGGACCGCTCCTATTCCTCCCACGCTACAGGGGGTGCTATTGCTCCACTTCTCCACCTCCCAGTGCAGCTCTATCCTCTCATCACTGTAAGGCACTCCTCTCCTCCATCCCTCTCCGTTCTCTCATCTCCCTCCCTCTGTTGCTCAGTGTACTTACTGTTCCATTCTTACTGTGTATATGTGTACCTCTTTCTCTCTCTTTTTCTCTCTCTCTCTCTCTCCCTTCCTCTCTTTTTGTACCACAGGCTGTGTAACGTTCAGCTGTGGGTCGGAGAGAGTGACCATCAAACCAGGTGGCAGAAGGACCCGTTTTCTGAGTACGCCCTGCTTGGCTCTTTGTGTGTAACGCTTCTTCCTCTTCCTTTGTCTTCTTTCTCCTTCACTTCCTACTTCCTGTCATGTGATTATCTCTTGTCTTCCGATTGGGAGCCACATCTCCTCTGGCATTTTAGCCTTTTTTTGTTTAAATTGGCCCCATTTATAGAGCATTTATAGATAAATGACTCAATGACCACTGATGATGCATCATCACATAGCCTAATGGATACATGTATCTAATGGCATACTCTACATTCCCATCCTAGTGCATTAAGGTCATGTATATAGTATATACCCACAGACAGTGTGGTGCCAGAGGCTTAAACATCTGATCATTCTATCTGACCCCTCTTATAAACCATGATCATTATTATCACCAATAGCCAATGCAACAGTAATGTCTCCATAAAGCATGTTGAGCTATAAGACAGGTACAGTCTAGAACAGGGCTCTCCAACCCTGTTCCTGGGTTTTCGCCCCAATCCCAGTTGTAACTAACCTGATTCATCTTCTCAACCAGCTAATTATTAGAATCAGGTGTGTTAGATTAGGGTTGGAGTGAAAACCTACAGGAGAGTAGCTCTCCAGGAACAGGGCTGGAGAGAACTGTTCTAGAGTGTAATATATATATATATATAAAAATACCAAGGTGACATTTTTGACACTTGGTCCTCCACACTGATCCGTTTCCACTACGGTCCCATACTCCACTCACGTCAACATCAAAGCATTATATTATAATTTCTAATGTTTCTTCATCCAGCTAATAATCACCCTTATTTAAACTGTATAGGCTATCATTTGGAAGTTCTTGGATGAGCTTTTGAGCAATAAAAAATTGGAATGGTAAGAGTTCACTATTCAAGTGAATGGTCTGTGGTACTACCCTTTAGGAATAGTTATGGTCTGTACTACAGTACTACCCTTTAGTAATAGTTATGGTCTGTACTACAGTACTACCCTTTAGTAATAGTTATGGTCTGTACTACAGTACTACCCTTTAGTAATAGTTATGGTCTGTACTATAGTACTACCCTTTAGTAATAGTTATGGTCTGTATTACAGTACTACCCTTTAGTAATAGTTATGGTCTGTACTACAGTACTACCCTTTAGTAATCGTTATGGTCTGTACTACCCTTTAGTAATAGTTATGGTCTGTACTACAGTACTACCCTTTAGTAATAGTTATGGTCTGTACTACAGTACTACTCTTTAGTAATAGTTATGGTCTGTACTACCCTTTAGTAATAGTTATGGTCTGTACTACAGCACTACCCTTTAGTAATAGTTATGGTCTGTACTACAGTACTACCCTTTAGTAATAGTTATGGTCTGTACTACCCTTTAGTAATAGTTATGGTCTGTACTACAGTACTACCCTTTAGTAATAGTTATGGTCTGTACTACCCTTTAGTAATAGTTATGGTCTGTACTACAGTACTACCCTTTAGTAATAGTTATGGTCTGTACTACCCTTTAGTAATAGTTATGGTCTGTACTACAGTACTACCCTTTAGTAATAGTTATGGTCTGTACTACCCTTTAGTAATAGTTATGGTCTGTACTACCCTTTAGTAATAGTTATGGTCTGTATTACAGTACTCCCCTTTAGTAATAGTTATGGTCTGTACTACCCTTTAGTAATATTTATGGTCTGTATTACAGTACTACCCTTTAGTGATAGTTATGGTCTGTACTACCCTTTAGTGATATTTATGGTCTGTACTACAGTACTACCCTTTAGTGATAGTTATGGTCTGTACTACAGTACTACCCTTTAGTGATAGTTATGGTCTGTATTACAGTACTACCCTTTAGTAATAGTTATGGTCTGTATTACAGTACTACCCTTTAGTAATAGTTATGGTCTGTACTACCCTTTAGTAATAGTGATGGTCTGTATTACAGTACTACCCTTTAGTGATAGTTATGGTCTGTACTACAGTACTACCCTTTAGTAATAGTTATGGTCTGTACTACAGTACTCCCCTTTAGTAATAGTTATGGTCTGTACTACAGTACTACCCTTTAGTGATAGTTATGGTCTGTATTACAGTACTACCCTTTAGTAATAGTTATGGTCTGTACTATAGTACTACCCTTTAGTAATACCCTTTAGTAATAGTTATGGTCTGTACTATAGTACTACCCTTTAGTAATAGTTATGGTCTGTACTACAGTACTACCCTTTAGTGATAGTTATGGTCTGTATTACAGTACTACTCTTTAGTAATAGTTATGGTCTGTACTACAGTACTACCTTTTAGTAATAGTTATGGTCTGTATTACAGTACTACCCTTTAGTAATAGTTATGGTCTGTATTACAGTACTACCCTTTAGTAATAGTTATGGTCTGTATTACAGTACTACCCTTTAGTAATAGTTATGGTCTGTATTACAGTACTACCCTTTAGTAATAGTTATGGTCTGTATTACAGTACTACCCTTTAGTAATAGTTATGGTCTGTATTACAGTACTCCCATTTAGTAATAGTTATGGTCTGTACTACCCTTTAGTAATAGTGATGGTCTGTATTACAGTACTACCCTTTAGTAATAGTTATGGTCTGTATTACAGTACTACCCTTTAGTAATAGTTATGGTCTGTACTACAGTACTACCCTTTAGTAATAGTTATGGTCTGTACTACAGTACTACCCTTTAGTAATAGTTATGGTCTGTACTATAGTACTACCCTTTAGTAATAGTTATGGTCTGTATTACAGTACTACCCTTTAGTAATAGTTATGGTCTGTACTACAGTACTACCCTTTAGTAATCGTTATGGTCTGTACTACCCTTTAGTAATAGTTATGGTCTGTACTACAGTACTACCCTTTAGTAATAGTTATGGTCTGTACTACAGTACTACTCTTTAGTAATAGTTATGGTCTGTACTACCCTTTAGTAATAGTTATGGTCTGTACTACAGTACTACCCTTTAGTAATAGTTATGGTCTGTACTACAGCACTACCCTTTAGTAATAGTTATGGTCTGTACTACAGTACTACCCTTTAGTAATAGTTATGGTCTGTACTACCCTTTAGTAATAGTTATGGTCTGTACTACAGTACTACCCTTTAGTAATAGTTATGGTCTGTACTACCCTTTAGTAATAGTTATGGTCTGTACTACAGTACTACCCTTTAGTAATAGTTATGGTCTGTACTACCCTTTAGTAATAGTTATGGTCTGTACTACCCTTTAGTAATAGTTATGGTCTGTACTACCCTTTAGTAATAGTTATGGTCTGTACTACCCTTTAGTAATAGTTTATGGTGACTCCCCTGTTAGTAATAGTTATGGTCTGTAATTACAGTACTCCCTTTAGTTAATAGTTATGGTCTGTACTACCCTTTAGTAATATTTATGGTCTGTATTACAGTACTACCCTTTAGTGATAGTTATGGTCTGTACTACAGTACTACCCTTTAGTGATATTTATGGTCTGTACTACAGTACTACCCTTTAGTGATAGTTATGGTCTGTACTACAGTACTACCCTTTAGTGATAGTTATGGTCTGTACTACCCTTTAGTGATAGTTATGGTCTGTATTACAGTACTACCCTTTAGTAATAGTTATGGTCTGTATTACAGTACTACCCTTTAGTAATAGTTATGGTCTGTACTACCCTTTAGTAATAGTGATGGTCTGTATTACAGTACTACCCTTTAGTGATAGTTATGGTCTGTACTACAGTACTACCCTTTAGTAATAGTTATGGTCTGTACTACAGTACTCCCCTTTAGTAATACCCTTTAGTAATAGTTATGGTCTGTACTATAGTACTACCCTTTAGTAATAGTTATGGTCTGTACTACAGTACTCCCCTTTAGTAATAGTTATGGTCTGTACTACAGTACTACCCTTTAGTGATAGTTATGGTCTGTATTACAGTACTACTCTTTAGTAATAGTTATGGTCTGTACTACAGTACTACCTTTTAGTAATAGTTATGGTCTGTATTACAGTACTACCCTTTAGTAATAGTTATGGTCTGTATTACAGTACTACCCTTTAGTAATAGTTATGGTCTGTACTACAGTACTACCCTTTAGTAATAGTTATGGTCTGTATTACAGTACTACCCTTTAGTAATAGTTATGGTCTGTATTACAGTACTCCCATTTAGTAATAGTTATGGTCTGTACTACCCTTTAGTAATAGTGATGGTCT